GGATTCTGTATATGCTGTTGCCAACACTTGGAGCACAGTAACTAAAGACACGGTTGTGCATGGCTGGCACAACCTCTTGCCTGTGACCATGTTCAGTGATGATGATGATGATGAATAAAGTGGTGACTCTGAAGGATTCCATATATCAAATGAGAAAAAATGATGTCTGATCTCCTTACATATGCAAAGGCTGTGTCTTCAGAGTCCATCATTAAACTGGAAGAAGGTGATATCAAAGAAGTTTTAATGTCAGCAATTAGGCTCCAATTGTTCACTAATGGTGAAACAACTGAAATGATTCTGAATCAAAGTAATTGTGATAATAGTGATGATAAGATGACATTGTTAACACTGCAGAAAAAATGCCTATAGATGACATGGTGAAAATTTGTGATGGGCTTATCAAAGGACTAGAGCAGTATCCTTCATAACAGAACAAGAAATCATGTCAATTTATAAACTCAAAGAGAGACTTCTAAGACAAAAAACATTGTTAAGGAAGCATCTGCCTCTGATGGAAACATGTTAAAAAGCCATCCAGCAGAATGCTTCCTCATTCCTAGAGGACCTACCTCCTGGTCACTCAACTGCTTCTGATGTTTCTTCTCACTTAAAAAAAGTACAGCATGCAATAACTTTCAGTCAAAACAGCATCATAGGTGGAGACTGAAAGCCTGCCATTTTTTGTTATTGCTGTTCTTTAACAGCTGATACAGGCAAGTGTTCGGGTAATGCTATAGACAAGTGTTCGGGTAATGCCACTTTGCTGCTTAGTTACCCTGAACACATTATTTTTTCACTGTATTAATGGTGTGTCAGTTTTTACCGTTAAGTACTTATGAGTGAAAAAGTATAAGAAAATGATTGCTTATAAGTTAGCATACAAATTCAAAGTCATAAATGATGGTGATGCCAAACAACTACAGATTGTCCAAATGTGTGGCTGAGGTAGCGAAATCTTTGCTTTCTGATGGTTCAGTGTTCGCAAATTTTGTTTCATGTATGTATAGGGTTATTTAAAATATTGTATAAAATTACCTTTAGACTATATGTATGTATAAGGTGTATATGAATACATATATACATGTATACATAAATACACATATACATAAATGAATACATATATACATAAATGAACATATATATACATATATACATAAATGAATTCCATGTTTAGACTTGGGTCCCATCTCCAAGATATCTTATTATATACATGCAAATATTCCAAAATCCCCCCCAAAATCCAAAATCTTAAACACTTCTGGTCCCAAGCATTTCCAATAAGGGATACTCAACCTGAATATATAAGGTTTGGTACCATCTGTGGTTTCAGGCATCCACTGGAGGTCTTGGAATGTAATGTATCCCCCAAGGATAAGGGGAGGGACTACTGTATTATGAAAGAATAATGGTGAAAAACCAATGATCTAAGCTTCCACCCGAAGAAGCTAAAAAAAAAAAAAAAAAAGTAATTTATCCAAAATAATTACAAGAAAGAAATTACTAAATATAAGAGTGAAAATCAAAGAAACAGAAAACAAACTATAGAGAAAAATCAATGAAATCAAAAGCTGATTCTTTGAAAAGATCAATAAAACTAATAAACCAGAGAGCCAAATTAATCAAGGAAAAAAGAGATAAGACACAAATTACCAGTATCAGGAATGAAAGAGGGACATCATTAGAAATCCTTTAGATAGAAAAGGCTGATGAGAATACACGGTGAGCAACTTTATGCCACTAAATTTGACAAGTTAGATAAAATTCCTTCAAAGATACAAATTATCAAAACAGATTGAAGGGAAACAGAAAACTAGAATGGCATTATATTAACTAAAGAAATTGAATTCATAATTTAAAAACTTTCCTATAAAGAAAACTCCAGGCCCAGATGGCTTCATTGCTGATTTTTATCATTCATTAAGGGAGAAAGAATACAAATACTACCCAAAAGATTGGTGAAAGGAACACTTCCCAACTCATTTTATGAGGTCATTATGACTCTGATATCAAAACTTGAAAAAGACATTACAAGAAAACTACAAATCTCTCTCATGAACACAAACAAAAAATCCTTAACAAAACAGTATCAAGTCAAATATGGTAATATATAAAAAGAATAATACCTAATGACCAAGTAGAGTTTACATTAGAATACTAATGTAACACATGAAAATTCAATCAATGTAATTTATTGATATAATAAAGGAGAACGTCTATATGATATTCTCAACAGATATTTGACAAAATATGATACGCCATTCACTATAAAAACTCAGAAAACTAGAAATAGAAAGGAACTCCCTCAACTGAGAAAGGGCTTTTAAGAGAAACCAACAACTAACATTAAATACTTAATAGTTAAAGACTGAGATTTCAAGACTCACTAAAAACTTCAAAAATTAAGACAGTGTGATACTGATATACTGATGTAAAGACAGATATAACAATCAATGGATGAGAACAAAGAGTTCAGAAACAGTCCCATATGTAAATGGTCAATTGATTTTTAACAAAGGTGCCAAGGTAATCCAATCTATTAGGAAAGAACAGTCTTTTCAATAAATAGGGCTGGAACAATTGGCTATGCCTGGGGAAAAAAAGGAAGCTTGATCCTTAACTCAAATAATACACAAAAATTCATCTGGATGGGATCATAGACTTAAATATAAAAGCTAAAGTTGTAAAACTTCTAGAAGAAAACATAGTAGAAAATCTTTGTGACCTTGGGGTAGGCAAAGATTTCTTAGCTATTAAACCATGAAACATAAAACACTAAAAAATTAGAGTTCACAAAATTAAAGACTTTTGCTCTTCAAAAGATACCATTAAGAAAATTAAAAGGCAAGGCATAAACTGGGGGAAAAACATACGACTGACAAAGGACTTATATCTAAAGTATACATAAAGAAATCTTACAAGTCAATAATAAAGCAAATGATCCAATAAAAAATGGGCAAAGTATTTAAACACTTCACAAAAAAAAATATACAAATGGCCAATAAGCACATGAAAAGATGCTTAGTACTATACACCCACTAGAATGGTTACGATTAAAAAGACCGATAATACCAAGTATTGATTTGAATGTGCAGCAACTGGAACTCTCATACATTGTTGGTGGGGATACAAAATGATCACTTTGCAAAAACACTCTGGCAGTTTCTTACAAAGTTAAACATACACTTACCCTATGACCCAGCAATTCCACTCCTAGGTATCTACCCAAGAAAAATGAAAACATATGTCCACACAGACTAATATGCAAAAGTTCATAGCAGCATTATTCATTAAGAGCCAACAACTGGAAATAACCCAAATGTCCATGAAATTGTGAATGGATAAACAAATTATGGTATATCCATACAATGGAATACTACTCTGCAATAAAAAGTAACAAACTACTGATACATACAATATGGATGAATCTCAAAAACATACTAAGTGAAAGAAGGTAGAGACAAAAGACCACTCATGATTCCATTTAGAAGAAATCCTAGAAAAAGTAAACTACAGTGTGTCCCAAAAGTCGCCATACATAGGGAAAATGGGAAATTGTAGCTAAATATAACTTTATTTACAAAATATTCATTACAAAATTTTATAAAATTTTTCCTTTGTGAGACTACAGTGACAAAACACAGATTGATGGTTGCCTCAAGGTAGAAGAGGGGAAAGGTAACTGAGTGTAAAGGGACATGAGGGAACTTTTTGCAATGATGTTTTAGATGTTAATTTTGGTGGTCCTTATACAATTATGTGCTAAAATTCATTGGTGTGCACACTTAAAAATGGGGGAATTTTATTACATGTAAATTATAGCTCAAACTGTTGGAAAAAAACAACATAGTAGTACTTTCTCTGTGACTAATTAAAACTGAAAACTAATTGCTAGAGAACTCGTTTTTCCATTAGGGGATTCAACATGTTGAGAAAAATTGTGTAAAACTTGGAGGATTGTTTAACAGGCCCGCCCAAGAATTATTTAATTTTCTAAGAGAATGTCCCCATGCCTGACTGCTATTTACTATTGATTGCAGCTAAGATGCCATGAAATTACATATTAAATAGCAGATTTTTGCATTTAATAGAAACGCAAATGATTTGTCTCGTAGAAAAGATAACCCCAGAAGTTATAGATTTATTTCCTGTAGGACATTAATTAGTTTTGTATCTAACTTGATATCTTCTTTTAACATTCTTTTTTCAAATGCCTCTAAATACCTGAGTCTTCAAAGGCTCTTTCAATCGATTTACCCCACTGTTCCTCAGAACTAATAAGTTGAAAAATCTTGACATAAGTTGATTTCATAGTTGTATAATAATCATGCTTTTAATTTTTTAAAAATCATACTTTGATATTATTTAATGGTTCATTTGAGTGTCATTTCAAATAACTTCAGGTAAACATCTCAGATCACATTTCATCTGACATGAGTCACACATTTTGAGAAACACATTAATTTACGCTTGAAGTGAAAATTTAGAGGATTATTTATCAGTACACTGCACTTTCTTTATAACTTAACGAGTGTTCTGTGTTGGTGCCAGGGTCAGGGAATCTTAATAGCGCCTCCTTTCTTTTCTTTTTTTTAAAGACAGAGTCTAACTCTGTTGCCCAGCTGGAGAACAGTGGTGTCATCATAGTTCACTGCAACCTCCAACTCCTGGGTTCAAGTGATCCTCCTGCCTCAACCTACTGAGTAGCTGGGACTAAAGGTGTGCACCACCAATGTCTGGCTAATTTTTCTATTTTTTGAGGAGACACGGTATTGCTCTTGCTCAGGCTGGTCTCGAACTCCTGGTCTCAAGCAATCCTCCTGTCTCAGCCTCCCAAAGTGCTAGGATTACAGGCATGAGCCACTGTGTCTGCCTGCCTCCTTTATTTTCTTTATACCATGTAGATATATAAAGCCAATTCCCTATCCTTTGCATTAAAGGCTTCAAAATGCAACCCCTTCATAAACAGTGAGATTTGATTTTAACTTAAAATCCAATACTTTGTTTCTTGGATACTTCTTCTTCATCTCCAACTTCGTCTTCAGTGACCTCAGATCCAGTGGTATATTCTTCTTCTTCTGAAAATAATGACTGTTGTTTCTAAATTTAACAAAACAAAACACATCTATTACAAATGTAATGTTATCACATCTGTAACGAATTCTTTCAAACACATTTATCTAAATTTATGTTGAATGAATGAGTCAAACAAGAGCAAATAAAAGGACCACTGCCTATAAGGCACGACATCTAAGAAATGGACCTAAGACTCTCTACATTCAAGACAGGATTACATTACATCAAATATTTTTGATTTTTTTCCTTCACAGAACCTAGCAGAGTCATAGGCATTATAATAGGTACCCAGTACTTATTGAATTGTACCTCCATCACTCAACTGAATGTATGTTCCTTGATATTAAGATTAAAGTATAACATAATAATTGCCAATATTAAAGTAGTCTCATAGATAAGCACATGTGCACATTCTCCCATCCAAGTACTAACCAGACCCGACCCTGCTTAGCTTCCAAGATCAGATGAGACTGGGCATGTTCAGGGTGGTATGGCCATAGCATACACATGTGCACATTCTCTGGGTGAATGTGGATTCACCCTAGATTACTTAACCATATGTGCATTAGTTTCCTGTATCTATCCACCCTACTGTCTGTCATCACTAATCCAAATTCCCATTCCATTCTTATGAATACTGATGGCAGATGCTGTAGTACTGGCAAACAGGTAAAAAATGAACCAATCAGCCAACCAAATAATTGGCACTTTATAGATTTTTTTGCTTTGTTCAATATCCTAAATGTGACTTATAAGTGACTTTAAAAAGTCTTTTAACCTGTGGATTATGCAGCCAGATAATGGAGTATATGTCTCTTTTAAACAATCTTACACAGTCTTAAACAATCTTAATGACATTATTAGTAACTGTAAAATTGGAAAAGCTGAAAAGGAAGACATAACTTTAACTAAAATTTGTAAAACAGCATATTGGTAAGATTCCATTAAACTAAATTTTAATTTAGGAAGAAAAAGATTCATGAAAGCTGAATATAATTACTCACTCACCAGCTGCAGAGTCCAGTTTTTCAGTGACAAGAACTATAAAACAGAGGAATAAGAGATTAATAAATTGGCATCTGCCTAGATTGAAGCTCTTTATTTTCATATGGATATTGTAGAAGAGCTAAAAAAAAAAGTTACAAATATGGTTCCATTCCAGGTTGAAAACATAATCTAAAACTCAGGCTAGAAGTGAGATATTACAGTCTTTAATATCCTCTGCTGGAGGAGTATGTGGATGTTTAAAAAAAAGAAACAAAGGGACACTTTTCCAGTATTATTTCCAAAGGACATTAAATCACATGTAGAGATAATAGTTATTTTTAAAACTACTTCAATCACTTTTTAATGTTTATGTTTTATTACAAATTAAGGAAGCAGATTACATATAGACATTTAAGACATTTAATTTGCTATTTGAAGCTGGGCGTGGTGGCTCACGCCTGTAATCCTAGCACTCTGGGAGGCCGAGGCGGGCAGATTGTTTGAGCTCAGGAGTTCGAAACCAGCCTGAGCAAGAGCGAGACCCCGTCTCTACTAAAAATAGAAAGAAATTAATCAGACAACTAAAAATATATAGAAAAAATTAGCCGGGCATGGTGGCGCATGCCTGTAGTCCCAGCTACTCGGGAGGCTGAGGCAGAAGGATTGCTTGAGCCCAGGAGTTTGAGGTTGCTGTGAGCTAAGCTGACGCCATGGCACTCTAGCCCGGGCAACACAGTGAGGCTCTGTCTCAAAAAAAAAAATTTGCTATTTGATATATAATTTATAGATAAATATTAATGACTGAATATTTGTATAGCTGTCTGGAATTTATAAAGTACTTAAAATGGAGTATTTCACTTTCTTAAGTAAACGCTACCTCAACCAACACAAAGACAGAAGTTCACAGGCAAACAGATTCCCTGATCCTTAGTAACAAAGTAAAAAGGAATAAAAAATAATCAAAGGAATCAAAGTTTCTGGTCACCTAAAAATATTTCAGTTTTGAAACTTTGAAAAAATAAAATATATTCCTGATTACAATAAAAAGATAATTTCATGCTGAAAAAAGTTTATAAGCAAGGAGGGGACAAAATATTCATTCATACTATCTTCATCCCTCAAATCATTATTTGTCCATAATAAAAATCCTAAAGACCACGTTATTTTCTCCCCCCAAATTTAAATCTGTTAGTTATTAATTCTTTGAGGGCAAGGAATGTATCCTGTTACCCTTATAGTCCTATTAACTCAAATTAATTCAGCATAATACCTTGTTATGATTAGGGAGTCAGCTCAATTTCAATTTAAACTGACCAGGTTTCTGTCAAAGATGAAATGTCATTAATTGTTTATATAAATAAAGAATAGGTGAAACAAGCTACTCACAGCATTGAGCTCCCCAGATTTGGGGCCCCATGGTGTATTTGGCTCCAGTAAAACATCACATTCTAGACCCTTTTCATCACAGGGACCAACCCCAAGATCACTTGAAGGAAAAAGACATTTTTATGGATAAGTGTTCACTTTCTTAAAAATATAAATGTGAATGATATCTTTTTATTGCAAATATTTAATAAATCACTCTTTAGGAATATAGTTCCTGAATATAAGGATGCCACTTCAACATTTACATTTCTTAATTCATCTAGTGACTCCCCAAGCCAAAGTCACATCACACAGGGAGCACAACTGCACTAGAAGCTAGGTGGTGGAATAGGCTGCCATGATGGGTACTGATTTGAGAACAGCCTCTTTTAAAGGGTCCTCCAGCACCCAACCTAACAGCCTGCTACAACTGCAAAAAGGTAGAAGTGACTCCAGAAATTACTGAATCCAAGGAGTTCAAACTTATGGAAAGATGAATTCAACCATCAACTTTTCTTCTAGTTTTATCAATCAAGCATTTAAGAAGGGCTTAGGCAATTTGGGGGAAAAAAACCCTACAACCTTCCCACCAACCAACTGGATTTAAGGTCCCAACCTTTTTAATCACCAAGGACTCTTCATTAGTTTTTACTCCCCTTGGACCTCCAATATTTTTAAGTGTTTTGCCTATCAAATAAATATTTGCTTGCTTTGTGAAATAATGTAAACTATTTGAGTATCGATATTGCTGATTTGGGGAAGTACTAGGGGATAGGGGGTTCTGAAACGAGAACCACTGAATAAGCTACTATATAGTGTTCATTTATTTCCTCTCACCTAACTGTGTCTTTTGAAAAGGGCACAGCAATGACATCTTTGTGCTTGTGCAGATCATCCAGTATTCTAGTAGTTGGACAGGACAGCAAATCTCCACCTTCACCTTGATCAAGAAGTGTGACCACGTGGTCTCTCACTTTACAGCCCTGTTACATAAGAGACACTAAATTAGACGTTGGTTCATTATAGAAACATCCCTTTATTTTCTTTTAATTTTAATTTTATTTTTAGAGACAGAGTCCTGCTTTATTACCCAGGAGGCTGGAGTGCAGTGGCATGATCATAGCTCATTGCAACCTCTGGACTCAAGTGATTCTCCCACTTCGGCCTCCCAAGTAGCTAGGACTACAAGTGTATAGCACCATGCCAGGCTAATGTTTTAATTTTTTTGTAGAGACAGGTTCTTGCTACATTGCCCAGGCTGGTCTCAAACTCCTGGCCTTAAGAGATCCTTCAGCCTCGGCCTCCCAAAGTGCTGGGATTATAGGTATGAGCCACCACGCCTGGCCTGTTATAGAGATATTACTTTAAAGATCATTGTATATTTTTCTTTTTCTTTGCCTACTCATATCATCATATAAACATTTTACGTTTTCTCCAGAAAAAATACTCATATGGAAAAGAGATCAAAACATAAATGTACAGCTTAACAAATACCCAAGAATATCCATATAACCACCATCCGCGTTAAGATTTAGAATATTGCCAACACTCCAGGAGTCCACAGGGGGCCCATTCCTAATCATAACTGCCTCCATCCTCCCAAAAGATAACATCTACCCTGATTTTTATGGTTATCGCTTCCTTGCTTTTCTTTATCCTTTTGCCACTTAGGATGCATCCCTAAACACTATAGTTTAGTTTTACCTCACTTGTTTTGTTAAACATTATATTTTTAGGATTCAACCATGTTACTGCATGTAATGATAATATTTGCTTTAATGTAGAGCGTTCCATTCTATGAATATACACCATTCGTTTACCTCTTCTATAGCTGAAGGATGGATTATTTCTAGTTTGGGGCTATTACAAATACTACTGCTGTGAACATTCTTTTACATGTTTCCTAGTGCACAAGTGCTTATGTGTACCACATTATATTACCATCAGCAGGATATGAGAATTTCCATTACTCCACATGCTCACTAATACTTGGTCAGACATTTTAATTTTAGTCATTCTGGTATGTATTGGTATTCACTGTGGTTTTAATTTGTATTTCCCCAGTTACAAATGAAGTTGTCCTTTATATGCTGACAGGACAAATGAATGTTTTCTTATGTGAAGTGCCTATTATCTATCTTTTTCCTATTGATTTGTAGGAGTTTTTAAAAAAATATATTGACAATATTAATCTTCTATGGATATATGTGTTGCTAATATCCCATTCTACTTGTAAGTTTGTCTCTTTAGTTTCAATTTATTAGATGCGATTGATGTACTTGAACTTACCAACCTTTTCCCTTATGGTATTTCTTTTAATATTAATAGCTTCATTAGTTTTCCTTTCACATATGGGCCTTTTTTGGTAAATAGTTTGGGCTAGAGTGTGATTTGATTTTTTTCCCATATGGTACGCAATGTCCCAGTACCTCTTATTGGAAAGCCCATCCTTTGCTCACTGTTCTGTAAAGCCACCTTTGTCATAGCCAAATATCTAAGTCACTCTATGTCTGAGTATTCTAGTCTCCTTCTATTGGTCCATTTGTCTACTCTTTGAAAGTACCACCCTGTCTTAAGCAGCACAGCTTTATCATAAATCCTGATATCTGGCAGAGCAAGTTCTTCTAACTTTGTCTTGAGAGTATCTTGGCTATTCTTGGCCCTCTGAATTCCATATAAATTTTAGAATCAGCTCAGCACAGTTCCCAGTAAAAACCTGATAGGATTTTTATTTTTATTTTTTTCTGATAGGATTTTTATTGAGATTGCATTGATCTATATAGGTCAGTTTGGGAAGCATTTACATCTTTACAATGTCAAGTCTTCCAATCTATGAATATGGTACAACTATCCAGTTTTTAGTTTTCTTTATTTTCTCTCAATGTTTTATATTTTCTGTGTAGAGTTCTTATACATATTTTGTTAGATTTATTATTAGGTATTTGATATTTTCGAGGCTATTATGTTTCATAAATTTCATTTTCTCACCTTTCTGGTCTATAAAAATGCTATTGATTTTTGTTAATTATTTTTAATAGGTCAACCTTCCTAAATTATTATTAATTCTAATAATTTACCTATACATTCTTGGAGTTCTCTATGTATACAATATTATCTGCAAATTATGACAGTTTTGTTTTTTCTTTTTACTCTTTATATCTTTTATTTCTTTTTCTTGCGTTAATCTAGGACCAGAATCTCCAGTTCAATATGAATAGAAGTGTTTCCAATCTCAAAGAAAAAGCTTTGTACATTTCACTATTACGTGTGATATTTAAGTTTTGAAGTTTTGAAGATATTTAAGTTCACTATTATGCTTGATAAGTAAGTTTTGAATTAGCTCTCTTTTACTGGATTATAGCATTTCCCTTTCTTTTCTAAATTTGGTAAGAGTTTTTGTTTTGTTTTCATTTTTAGCCCCAAAAGAATGTTGAAATTCTAAAAAATGCTTTTTCTGAATCTGTGGAAATAATTTTTCCCATTTAATATGTTAATATGGCAAATTAAATTGTCTAATGTTAAATTAACTTTGAATCTTGGATATGAACCCAACTTGGCAGTGATAAATATCTTTTTTATGTATTACTAGATTTAGATGGCTAATATTTTATTTAGAATTTTTATATCCATGTTCATAAGTAACAATGGCTTTTAATTTTCCTTTCTCATATTTCCCATGTCATGTTTTCATATCAAAGTAGCTTCATAAAATGACTTAAATGTACTTTTTTCACTCCCTAGAAGAGTTTGTCTACATTTCACATTATTTCTTTTTTAAATAGTTGGTAGTATTTGCTGGTATGGACAAATGGACCTAGAGTTTTCTTTTTTTTTTTAGGCAGAGTCTTGCTGTCATCCTGGCTAGTGTGTAGTGGCCTCATCATAGCTCACTGCAACCTGAAACTCCTGGGCTCAAGTGATCCTCCTGCCTCAGCCTCCCAAGTAGCTGGGACTATAAGGCATGCACCACCATGCCCATCTAATTTTTTTTATTTTTGGTAGAGAAGGGGTCTCATGGACCTAGAGTTTTCTTAGTGGAAAAATATTTTTCACTAATTCAATTTCATTAAGAGTTAGAGGGCCATTTAGTTTTTTTCTTGTGTCAGTTTTGGTAAGATTTTTTTTCTCAAAAATGGCCAGTTTGTCTATATTTTCAAATGTATTGGCATAAAGTTTCTCATAATATCCTCTTATCATTTTAGTGTCTGCATGATCTGCAAAAATTTTTCTGTTCACATTCCTGATACTGGTAATTGTGTTCTTTTTTTCCTTAGATTTATTGAAATAGGAGGTTTATCAATTTAGTTAGTGAGTTTTTTATTGATTTATTTTTATTTCAGCATATTACAGGGGTACAAATGTTTAGGTTACATATATTGCCTTTGCCCCACCTAAGTCAGAGCTTCAACCACGTCCATCCCCCAGACGGTGTGCAATGCACCCCTTAGCTGTGAATATACCCATCCCCTCCTCCCCACTTCCACCTGCCCGACACCTGATGAATGTTACTACTATATGTGCACTTAAGTGTTGATCAGTTAATACCAACTTGATGGTGAGTACATGTGGTGTTTGTTTTTCCATTCTTGTGATACTTCACTTAGTAGAATGGGCTCCAGCTCTTTCCAGGGTAATACAAGAGATGCTAGATCACCATTGTTTTTTGTGGCTGAGTAGAACCCCATGGTATACATATACCACATTTTATTAATCCACTCATGTACTGATGGGCACTTGGGTTGTTTCCACATCTTTGCAATTGTGAATTGTGCTGCTATAAACATTCTAGTGCAGACGTCTTTTTTATAGAATGTCTTTTGTTCCTTTGGGTAGATACCCAGTAATGGGATTGCTGGATCAAATGGTAGTTCTACTTGCAGCTCTTTACTTAGTGTTTTTAAAAAATCCCTGGGCTTTTTGATTCTCCCTATTGAATGTCCATTTTTCTATTTTATTAATTTGTACTTCTTTTCCCCTTCCTTCTATTTTCTTTTATTGCTTTTTTCCTTGTTTCTTGATATAGATACACAGCTCACTAATTGTCAATCTTTCTCCTTTTCTAATATATGTTTATATTTAAGCATTTAAGGCTATAAAGTTAGCTTTATTCCCAAATTTTTGATATGTGGCTTCTTAAAAATTATTTTTTAATTTCCCTTGTGATTTCTTCTCTGATTTTTAGAGATCTCTGATCTCTAAAAAACATTTCTCAATTTTAAAACATATGAGTATTTTCTAGTTATTTTTCTTATTATTTATTTCCAGCATAAATGCACTATAGACATAAAACATATTCAATATGATCTCAATCTTTTGAAAGTTGTTGAGACTTGCTTTATGGTCTAGCAAATGGTTAAATTTTGTAAATGTTCTATTTGTGTTTGAAAATAATGCATATCCTGCAGTTGTTAATAGAGAAACTTGATGTAACAGACATACACAACTTGTTCAATCTTCTATAATATATGCTTATTAATTTTTTTGTTACCTTGGCCTATCAATTAATAAGAGGTATGTTAAAATCTCCAACAATTATTGTGAATATTTCTACTTTTTGTAGATCTACATATTTTTGCTTCATATATTTTAAGGCTATGTTATTAGGTACATACAAATTTAGAATTCCTGTATTTTTTTTGTAAATTAACCTTCATGATTATAAAATGATCCTCCTTATCTCTAGTACTGTTTTTGCCTTGAAATCTATTAAGTCTGATACTAACAAAGCTATACCTGCCTTCTTTTGATTAGTGGTTGCATGATCTACCTTTTCTTTCCTTTTACTTAAAATCTTTCTACATCCTTATGTTTTAGATCTATCTCTTAGAAATAGCATGTAGCTGGGTTTTGCTTCCCTTCTACCACCACACTCACCATTCTTTGTCTTTTTACTGGAACATTTAAACTGTTTATATTTAATGTAATTACTGATATATTTGGGTTTAAATCTATTATCTGATTATCTATTGTTCAACAGTCTTCTTTTGGATTTTTTTAATCATTCCATTCCCTACCTTCACATACATTAATTCCTCTATCCTTTTAGTGGTTACCCTAGAACTTATAGCATGTATCCTTCACTTATCAAAGTTTAATATCCTCCCTCTCACTTATCAAATGTTAATATCCTCCCTCTCAGATAATGCAAGACATTTTCAATTCCATTTCACCACCCTTCCGATTTATTCTTTTTTATATTTTAGGGACAGGTTCTTACTATATTGCCTAGGCTGGACTCGAACTCTTGGGCTCAGCCTCAGCCTCACACCTCAGCCTTCTGAGTCACGGGAACTACAGGTGCACAACACTGTGCCTGGCGTACCCTCCCAACTTATAGGCTATTGTACAGGTTTTAAAATTATGCTTCAAAATCTATGGTACACACATGTACTCACCATCAAATTGGTATTAACTGATCAACACATAAGTGCACATATAAGAATAACATCTATTGGATGTAGGGCAGGGGGCAGTGGGGAGGGGGGAGGAGGAGACGGGTATACGCATACACGAAGAGTGCAATGCACACCATCCGAAGGATGGACATATTTGAAACTCAGACTTGGCGGGGGAGAGGGGGCAAGGGCAACATACGTAACCTAAACAGCTGTACCCCCATAATATGCTGAAATAAAAAAAAAATCTATGGTACATATCAGTTATTTTTAAATTTTCTATATTATTAATATAATTAATATATAATTATATACTTATTACACACACATATCCACAAAGCATTACCATCATTATTTTATATAATGTTCATTTAGATTTACTAATATATTATTATAGTTTCTTTCTTTGATCTTCATTCCTTCCTGTAACTCAAGAACATCCTTTAGTGTTTTCTTTAAAGTAGTTTGCTGATTGCAAATTCCCTTAAATTTTGTTTTGTTTTCCTCAAATTTTGTTGCTTAAAATTATCTTTATTTTGTTTTCATTTTTAAAGGATATTTAAGGAAGGCATAGATTGCTAGATTAATTTCTTTTGGCACACTGAAGACTTTGTAGACTATATTCTGGCTTCCACTGCTACTGCTGGGATGGGAAGTCTGTCTAATTATTGATGTTTTGAAGGGATTCTGACTCCTTTGTAAAATGTCCTTTGTTTTCTGCATGAAACTTTCAGTATAATATATGAAGGTGTTTCTTATTATCTTACTGGGAATCACTGAAATTTTTCTTTTAAGAGACAGGGTCTTGCTCTGTCATCCAGGCTGGAGTGTAGTGGTGCGATCGTAGCTCACTGTGGCCTCAAACTCCTGGGCTCAAGGGATCCTCCTACTTCAGCCTTCTGAATATCTGAGACTACAGGCATGTACTACCATGCCTGGCTAGTTTTTAAAATTTTTTTTAGAGAGAAGGTCTCACTATGTTGCCCAGCGTGGTCTTGAACTCCTGGCCTCAAGTGATTCTCCTTCCTCAGCCTCTTGAGTAGCTGGGGATTACAGGAATGAGCTACAATGCCTGGCTTTGTCACTGGAATTCTTGAATCTATAAACTAATATCTTTCAATAATTCTGAAAAGTCTCAACTATAACTCTTCAAATTTTGCCTCTGATCTATTTTCTTTCTTTTCTTTTGGGAATCCAGTTAAAAAAATCAGACCTTGCAATACAAAAAGACAGATACTATATGATTCTACTATATGAGGTACTTAGAGTATTCAAATTCATAGAGATAAAAAGTAGAAAGGTAGGTGCCAGGGGCTGGGGGAAGGGAACATGGAGAATTGTGTTTCAGTTTTCCAAGATGAAAAGAGTTCTGAAGATTGGGTACACAACAATGTGAATATACTTAACAACCATACACTTAAAAATGGTTTTATTTATTTATTTCTCATCATTTTGTTTCTCTATGCTTCTTTCTGGAAAGTTTCTTCTCACTTTTATCTTTCACTTTGCTAATTTCTCAGCTGCATCTAATCTGTCAAATTTTCCACTGAGATTTCTTTATTGAGTTTTTCAGTTCTAGCATTTCTATTTGTTTTTATTTAAACTCACTTTTCACTTTTTAGAGTTTGTAATTCCCTAACAAAAATTTATGAGCTTAGCCTCTAGAAACTTAAACTAGTAATCCTATTTATTTTGCAGGCTGTATCAATAATTGTAATTAGGTTCCTAATTGTATTAGGAACCAGGGACCACTCTCTCTTTATTTATATACTACTTCCTTAACTTTCCTGACAACATCCTTGGTTTTTCTCCCATTATTCTGATCATTCTCCTTTGCAGGCTCATGCTTCTTTATCTAGCCATTAGATGTTGGAGTTTCTCTAGGCTCCAACTGAAGCCCTCTGCTTCTTATGCTCACCTATTCCTGCTGACTTTAATTATCATTTATTTGAAAGAAACTTAGAAATTATTATCTCCAGCCTAGCCATTTCTGTGAACCCCCAAACTCATACATCTAACAGCCTCTGCCTGGTTATCTCAGAAAGCACCTCGAACTCAATAATGTACAAAACGGAACTCATGAACCTCTCTCCAAACCTGATTCTTACCTGCTGTTTCCTCCTCAGTGAACAGCATCACTATCTATCCAGTAGCACCAGCAAGAAAGTGAGTCATCTTTGACTTCCCCCCTCCCTCTCTGATACAATGTCAAGTCATTTCAATTTTACCTCTTAAATATTGAATTCATCCACTTCTCTTTATCTCCACTACTCTAGTCCAAGCTACCATCATCACCCTCTAAGACGACTGTGATAGCTTCCCTTTGTACCTGACTCCACTGACTACTCCCAAGCCATTCTCCACACTGCAAGTGATATTTTCAAAACCTGAGATAAAAGAAAAACTCTAACATGGCCTACAAGGTCCTGACCCTGAACGGCCTGACACCTACTTATCTCTCCATCTTTGTCTTGAACTATGCATGTGTTCTGTAATGGCCTCAGTTTTTTCCAGACTCTCTTACCATGTTCCTTTTGGCCTTGCTGTTCTGAATGGAATGCCCTTTCCCATCCTCTTCACCTCCCCTACTCCTACGAATCCTTCAGACTCAACCAAATGCCAACTCCTTTGAGGCTTTCCTTGACTTCAGTGGCTGGATCACATCAGCCTATTATAGATATTTACAGCCCTGTATACTTCTTCAAACATTTCTTTGTGTGCTTTTTTTTCCCTTTTGGTATTAATGCCTGAGCTGTCAGTTCCATGAAGGCAGAAACTATCTAATTTTATATGCTACCCTCTGCCTTGCACAGTGTGTGGCACACCTTTGGTGCCTTATAAGTATTTTTTGTATGGATGATGATGAAGAAGAGCTTTATGTTCCTTTCATCCACTCATGAAATTTAATTATGTGACATTTTCAAAGATGTTAGTCATTGAGGAATCTAACCTATAGCAATGCTCACATACTGCACCAAAATATATGTGCAAGGATGTTCATTGCAACACTGTAATACCATTAATCTGGAAACAACCTAAATGTTCATCAATAGGAGAATGGTTAAATAAATTGTGATATACGCACAGCCTGGAATAGTACACAGCAGTTAAATAAAATGACACAGAAAGGTAACCTAGGTAAGTTGTTGAGTGAAAAGGCAAATTACGGAACATGAATAGTACGATCTCATTTCCAACACAAAAAACTACATATAATTTGTACCTCAAGTGCACAAAATAAAGTCTGAAAGGAAACTGTTAACTGTGGTTACCTCGAAGAAGAGATGGAAAATCGGGGAGTGGTGCAAAAGGGAACTTTTTTTTCCTATACTTACTTTGTACTGTTTGAAGTCCTTTCTACATAAGTAGACTTATAAAAGTATTACTTTTATATAATTTAAGGACTGTAACTACAAAAGGGCAAAATTCAAAACTTACCTTTGTAAGCTGAGTGGGATCAAACCGAAGAACCTTTTGGTTACAGCAGGGATAAATTCCAGTGCCAACAGTATTCAATAAACTTGCTGCAGCAGGATAAACCACTGTTTCTGAATGGTATTGACAATGTGAAAATTCAATACAGAGAAATGCCTGAATAAAAGAAATATATAAAATCAATTATTATTTCCACAATGAAACTATACATCTCAGAAATACTTAAGACCACATACTGTATGTTCCATTTATATGAAATGTACAGAAAAGGCCAATCTATAGAGACACAAAGTAGATTAGTGGTTTCCAGGGGTTGGAGGTTAAATGTGAGATAGAAGCAAATGGGCATAAGGGATCTTTTTGGGGAGATGGAAATGTACTAAAATTGGATGGTGGTGATGGTTGCACAACTCTGTAAATGTACTAAAAAAATCAGTGAATCATACACTTAAAATGAATAAATTTTATGGTGTGTAATTTTACCTCAATAAAGTTATTACATAGCAAAAAACGAAATCACTTTACTCAAAATCAGGTGAATTAAACTGATGTTGTTATACATTCGATTTTACAATTGGCTAATCACTTCAAAAGTTTTCCAAAGAAAAATAAAATTTTGCACCACCTGGTTATTCTTTTCTTTTTCTTTTTCTTCTTCTTCTTTGTTTTTTAAGAGACAAGGTCTTCCTGTTGCCCAGGCTAGAGTGCAGTGGTGCGATCACAGCTCACTGCAGCATCAAACTCCTGGGCTCAACAGATCTTCCTGCCTCAGTCTCCAGAGTAGGTGGGACTACAGACCACCACTCCTGGCTAATTTTTAACTTTTTTGTAGAGACGGTATCTCGCTTTGTTGCCCAGGCTGGTCTCGAACTCCTGGTCTCAAGCGATCCCCCACCTTGGCCTTTCAAAGTACTGGGATTACAGGCGTGAGGTAAATATTTAACTTAAAAAATACATACCCTTTTGACCAGCCTGCAAATTAGTGCGACCTCTGTGGAAAAGAATTTGGAGATACCTCAAAGACCTACAAGTAGAACTACCATTTGATCCAGCAATACCACTATTAGGCATCTACCCAAAGGAACAAAAGACATTCATTCTATAATAAAGACATGTGCACTCGAATGTTTACGGCAGCACAATTCACAATTGCAAAGATGTGGAAACAACCCAAATGCCCGTCAATCCATGAGTGGATTAATAAAATATGGTATATGTATACAATGGAATACTACTCAATTATAAGAAACGGTGGTGATCCAGCACCTCTTATATTCTCTGGATAGAGCTTGAGCCTATCCTCTGAAGTGAGGCATCACAAGAATGGAAGAATAGGCACCACATCTACTGGCCATCAAATTGGCACTGACTGATCAACACTAAGGTGCTCACACAGTAGTAATATTCTTTGGGGGTATGGGGTTGGGGGTGGGTAAACTCACAACTAATAGATGCGGTGAGCATTGTAGTGGGGGAAGGGCATGTCTCAAATCATGGGTGGGATGTGGCAAAGTCATAACATGTAACCAAAATGTTTGTACCCCCATAATTTCCTGAAATAAAAAAAAAATAAAAAAAAACATACCCTGTGGGGAACGTGGCCAGTGTTCCCTGCAAAAAACCAGGTCCCTTTGGTAGAGTTGCAAGGGATAAGAAAATAATAGAGAGAAATGGAAAATGGAAGAAATAAAAGAATACACTGAGACAAAGATATAGCTTTGTAAGTTTATAAAGATTATA